AATGGGTTGTCTAACGTTCCCAAAAATCTGTCTGTGTGTGCGTGTGTGTGTGTGTGTGTGTGTGTGTGTGTGTGTGTGTGTGTGTGTGTGTGTGTGTGTTCACTGAGGGCGTGTTCGCTCACTGATCGATTCTGAAGTGTGCTGTAATGCATTTTAAAAGGCTGAACACTAAAGCTGTCAGAGCTGGAGGGAGAGTGATGGAGAGAAGTTGGGGAACGCCAGACAATGAGCCGTCTGAGCTTGTTCTCCTCCTCTTCCTCCTCCCTAAAGGATTCTCTCTCTCTGCCTCAGAGCTTTTAGTATCTCGTCATGCCCTCTTCTTGCTACAGTAGATGATGTAAACGGGACAGACGCTCTCGGGCCTCGTGGTCATTTTGCTGCAGTGATTTGGAGGAACAGGACTCAAACCTCACTTTGTTTTCATCATCATCATTTCCCTTTATGCCTCTTGGCATGTAGGGCAGCAACAAAAGTCTTCCACTCCTGTCTGTGCTGGGCGAGTCGCTGGATGGTGCCCCATGAGTGGTTTAGGCTCTGCATCTCCTTCTCCACAGTTCTTCTCCATGCGTTTCTTGGTCGGCCTCTTTTTCTTTTCCCTTCTGGTGTCCAATGTAAGGCTGTTCTTGTAATATCAGCAAGATCTTTTCTCAACACATGTCCTATCCATCCCCATCTTCTTCTCATTAGGATGGTCTCCATGCATTCTTGTTGGCATTTGTCATACAGGTCTTCATTTGAAATGGTGTTTGGCCAGAAAATGTGCAGTATTCGTCTTAAACTCTTGGTGTGGAAGGTTGATAGTCTGTTGAGGTCTTCTTGTGTCATTCTCCAGCATTCAGAACCGTACAATAGGGTGGATAAAACACAGCTCTGATACAATTTAAGTTTGGTCTTGATGGTGTCCTGCTGTGACCTCCATATGTTATTCAGTACTTTGAAAGCGTTCCTTGCCTTATTAAGACGTTTCTTGATGTCTTTATCTGTGCCCCCATCGTGTCTGACAGTGCTGCCCAAATATGTGAACTCGTCACTTTGTTTTGTAGATAGTTTAACTGTGGAGCGTTGGTAGAAAAGACATAAACTTTAGACGAGGAATTAACTGTGAAGAATGCAAAATAAGGATGTGCTCCAGGAGCTACTTGGTGTTTTTAGTTATTTCTGTTTAATAACCAGAAATCAATGGAGGGGTTTAAGATGACTGGGCAGGACTACACAGACACATGCAGGCAGTTCTGAATAGTGAAGCCAAAGCTTCATGTGTTAAAGCTGCATTCTCTCTAATGTCCATCAGGGGGCGACTCCTCTGGTTGTATAGAAGTCTATGAGAAAATGACTCTACTTCTCTCTTGATTTATTACCTCAGTAAACATTGTAAACATGAGTTTATGGTCTCAATCTCTAGTTTCAAGTCTTCTTCAATACAGCATGATGTTCATTTAGTACATTATGGTCCATTTAGAGTCAAACAGACCATAAAGCAGGGGATGTTTTAGGGGCGGGGCTACACAGTGATTGACAGGTCTCTACCAGAGACGTATATGTCTACGTCACTCCTCAGTCCAGATATGGTCACTTTGCGGCAAAGCATGATGCCAGACAAACCTCACAATAAAATGTAGGGAACGTGATGAATTATGGCGTTGGTTTGCTTCCTGCATACATGTGCAGAATTTAACAGTCTCCTCGTCGCTCCACAGATCTGTTTGTGATGTATTCGTCTGCCGACATTTTCTTGTCTCCTCAGCAGACATTTAAGTCTCCTCAGTTTTATTTATATGGCACCAGATCACAACAGAAGTGATCTCGTGACACTTCATGTAGAGCAGATCTGGACTGTAATATACAGAGACCCAACATCGCTTCATGTATGTCATTAATAATTTGCCAAGTCTGTGACCTTTGCTTCCTCTCCTCCATTACTTTTTAAACGTTTCCTTTTTTTTTCCCTAAATTTTATATGCTAATTGAAAAAAGGTAGAAAAAAACACACCTGTTGTCTTTTTGATGCCGTGTGATCATCCTCACTAATACTTCTCCTTTCACATTCATGCTCTTTGCACCCTCCTCTGATACCTGTCTCTCTCTGTTCCTCTCTCTGTTTCTGTCTATCTCTCTCTCTCTGTTTCTGTCTCTCTCTGTTCCTCTCTCTGTTTCTGTCTCTCTGTTTCTGTCTCTCTGTTCCTCTCTCTGTTTCTGTCTCTCTCTGTTCCTCTCTCTTTTTCTCTCTCTCTGTTTCTGTCTCTCTCTTTCTCTCTCTCTCTGTCTCTCTGTTCCTCTCTCTGTTTGTCTGTCTGTATGTCTGTCTCTCTCTCTGCATAGTTCTCTCTCTCTCTCTCTCTCTCTCTCTCTCTCTCTCTCTCTCTCTCT